GCATCCAGTCGCATACTACTCTAAGTCACTCAACGAACATGAGCGGAACTATGAGATTTACGATAAGGAGATGCTTGCTAGCATTCGGGCACTAGAAGAATACCGGCACTATTTAGAAGGACATCCAGAACCCATTGAGATTTGGTCAGACCATCTCAACCTTACATACTTCCGTCAGGCACAAAAATTATCCTGGCGCCAAGCACACTGGTCATTATTCCTCACAAGATTTAATTTCATACTTAGTCACCGACCTGGAAAGACTATGCTACGTGCCGATCCTCTGTCCAGGAGGCCAGACCATGAGAGGGGGGTAGACAGCGACAATTCGAACCAAATGCTGTTAAAACCTGAATTTTTCACTATCAATGCGATTCGACCTGCTCATGCATCTGAAGTTGATGATGCTCAACTACTGGAAAGGATCAAGAAGGCACTCACAGACGACATGATGACCAAAGATTATCGTGCGCTTTTGACTACAGGACAGCGCGAATTTGGGAAAAACCTCGCAGAATGGAACTTTGAGCACGGACTGCTGCTCCATCGCGGAAAGGTTTATGTCCCCAAGGATCAACAGCTACGCCTTGACCTAATAAAACTCCATCATGACACCTTACCAGCTGGACACCCCAGCAGGTTCAAGACATTGGAGCTTATCACTCGGAACTATTGGTGGCCAGGAATGTCTGTAATGGTTAAACAATATGTACAAGGTTGCGACAGTTGTCAGCATAACAAGTACTCAAGAGAAAAACCATACGGACTACTACAACCAAACGAGGTACCAGGAGGACCATGGGAGATCATCACAGTGGATCTCATCACACAACTTCCTCCAACATGGACTTTAGGGGAGAAAAGAAGACGGCAATACTTGTTGTCGTGGACAGACTCACGAAACGAGCGCACTTTTATGCGACGGACGATACAGTCACCTCATCGCAAGTCGCTAATGTATTCTATAATGAAGTCTTCAAACTCCATGGATTGCCACGCCAGATTATCTCAGACAGAGGTACTCAATTTGCGAGCAAACTATTCCAGGAGTTCTGCCAGAAGCTCGGTATAAATTCAACAATGTCCACTGCATATCACCCCCAGACAGACGGTCAGACAGAAAGGGTTAATCAGGTGTTAGAACAGTACCTACGAATGTTCTGTAACCACAGACAGAACGATTGGGTCTATTACCTGCCAACAGCAGAATTTTCATACAACAACCAGACTCATGAATCCACCGCACTTTCCCCATTCTTTGTCGAATATGGCCGACATCCAAAAATGGCACCAGACATACACAAATCAATATGTCATCCCTCATTGGAACATCTATTCACCCACAGATCTGAGGCGCAAGAACAGGCAAAGGCAGCATTGGAAGTTTCGGCTTCACGGATGAAATGGTACTTCGACGAGAAAAAGGGAGAAGTCCCATTCAAAGTCGGAGACCTGGTACTACTCAAAGGAAAGGACCTCAGAGTAAAAGTCAAGTCCGCGAAGCTAGGCACACAAAACTTCAGACCTTACAAAGTACTTCAGAAGCTAGGCCCAGTCACATTCAAACTGGAACTGCCTAAGCAAATGAAGGTCCACCCGGTCTTCCATGCTAGCAAGCTGATCATGTACCATCAAGACACGGTCGCAAACCATGAACCCCCAAAGCCCCCAGCTATAGAAATCGAAGGTGAACCAGAATTCGAAGTTGAGGAGATACTAGACTCGAAGGTTGTAAGAGGAAGGGTCCAATACCTCGTCAAATGGAAAGGCTATGACCATTCCGACGATACATGGGAACCCCGAACAAATCTCACCAACACTGATGAGCTTCTTCAAGAATTCCACCAGCAACACCCAGATGCAGCCAAAGCACCAATCAGGGTCGTCACTTTTGGTGGAAAACGCTTCGAACTATCCTCATATGAAGTTGCACCAATCTCCACACACAGAATCAACATGTCCGACCATCCAGATGAGTTCTTCCTATATCATAAGATGACAGATCTCACCAAATCACTGAAAAAATCCTCAAACGAAGCAGCAGGATGGGATCTTTATGCAGCAGAAACACATGAAATCCCTCTGCATTCACGAGCTGTGGTAGGAACAGGAGTCGCAATGACCCTCCCAAACATACCTATACATGAATAGCTCCATGCAGCGGACTTGCTGCATGAGGAATTGACGTGGGCGCAGGAGTCGTCGATCCAGATTACACTGGAGAACTCAAAGTCGTATTGATCAACACAACAGATTTCGTATTTCCGGTCAAGCCGGGAGATAGAATAGCCCAAATAATCTTCAAGTATTATGCAGAAGGGCTTCCCTCCCGAAGCTACCAACCGTTGCGAGCAACTAGAAGGGGTAATAAAGGTTTTGGCTCCTCGGGACAATGAGCCTTGAGAGGGGGGGGGTAGTGTCACAGATTTTTGCCACAAAGTCCGCACGTGACTTTTCTCACACCACAGATCACGTGCTTCACCAATATCTCACACCACTCAGCCACAGACGTGACACGTAGAGATCAGGTGATAGTCCACATCACATGTTATGGTCCAGACCCGCGGATGATACGGTCGGACCTGTCTATTCCAGGATACAATAGAGGCACCCATTTGGGAACAAAGGGAACAAGGACTATTGTTATGCATCGGCCTTCCGCTTCCTATTAGTTTAGCCAGAAGCCTAGATAGGTACGATGTTCACACCGGAGAACAAAAGGGAAACCAAGATAGGCACGATGTGCACACGCATTACTGCGGCAACCATCAATCTTCCCACTTATTGTTCTACTTCCGGACATCCTATTGTTTCATGTACGGCCATTTGCTTATACCTGTAGATAGGTAGCTTAGGTAAGATAGCCCGCTGTATGTGTATATAAGACCAGCCATGTAGGGGACGAAACCTCAGATTGTTTCTCCTCGTCCACTACCTGTAGCACTCACTGAGCTCACAAGCTCCTTCATATATCTCTACCCCTTGCCCGCATCCACCACATCAACTAGTAAGTCAACAGGCTCTTGTGCCACTTAAGGGATCAGGGGGATACTTTGGGATCAGGGGGATCAGGGCAGCACATTCCACGTGACTGTCCCTTTTTAGTCTTTTTGATCTCTTGTCCGGTGTTACCGTGACAGGTCCAGTACATGTCAGTGTGATGTGTGAAGCTGAAAGCAACATTGGCTGCAATATGTTCAAAGGTGGGTGTCATCATGGAAAGGTTGAGTATGACTGTGCAGTAAGTTGAGAAGTGTTAAGTATAGAAGTTCAGCAATGAGATGAAGTGATCCAGGCTCATGAGCGAATGACATAAACATATTTCCTTAAACAGGTCAAACTGCATCTTAAGAATCATGTAAGCTGCAGGCCATCCTAAGGCTCCAACTATTTATACTATTTATACTATTTATACTCCTGAGATGTAAATAAATAGTATATAGTAAATAGTTATCTATATGTTATATAAACAGTTTATATGAATTTATACATATAGTGTATTTGGTCCCATCTTTTGATGGAGTCTTACCTAACTGTGAGCAGCCTCTGTGATTGTTGAGGCCTTTAAGGACCTGTGTGCATCAGCACGCACATGACAATGAGCAGAAAATAAGCATTCAATGTCAACACTTGCACCAGGAATGACCAGGAAATCTCATGTCATATAAGAAATGACAAAAAACTCATGTTCATGAGCCTACATGATGATCAACTGTCAGTGGTGGCTTCTGTTAAACACTATAACTTTCAATTGGCTCACTGTTGCACTGTGAAATTTAGCAATTGTGCACTCAATTGCCCTATATCATCATAAAACTATTTATACTATATATATATATATATCTATTTACTATGTACAGGCCCAAATGTAAATAAACAGATATAGTAAACAGTCAAAACTATGTAACATAGTAAATAGATAGAAATGTTGGAGCCTTAGGCCATCCCCATACTGTAGTAGCTAAATTTATCATTTGAAACTATCTAGGCACTTGTGTGGCTTGTCGGCTTTGGTGACAGCTGTCTAAGCCTGTGCATGTCAAAAACTGTGACAGCCGCCATCCAGAGCGATGGAAGTCAAAAATTTCTGACACGCTATTGGATTACCCACAAATCAAAAGAGCACTAAGCCGCTTTATAAATGTCGGTATACAATTGATTGTAGCGATATCTAAGCAACGTGCTATATGACCAGGAGCAAACATTCAGCTTGTCTTCTAATACCTTACATGACACCGTAACATGTAGACCTACGGTCCATGGAATCTCTAGTTCTGCCAAACAAAGCCGCTTTCTAGCTTGACAATGTGAACAGGTCTTCACGCACCCATGTGGAGCTGTCAGTGGTGAAGAAGTCGTGGGCTTTAGTCCTGCCAGTGTTGCATGCTTGCGCCGCATCGATTACCACTACACACATTAATGCATCAGCGATTTCTTGAAAACAAAACTTGGTCCCTCTCACCTTGTTCAAGGGAAGAACATGAATGCATTTCACCGATGTTCCTGGGAGAAGCCTTTCAAGCATGGCGAAATGGCAAAGCACTTCGTTGACAGCAAGCAACTGGTAGTCAGGTTTGAAGATGTCATAAAACAATTGGCCTCCCGCAACTGAGAATCGTCGATACGGATCCAGTCGTGCATCTTGTACTGTCAAAGGAGAGTATTCCCTCACCACGATGTAGACGGTCGACAGCTTGGCCCACACTTCTTCGTAGCGAAAAATATGTTCTATTTGCCCTGCCCTCCACCGTTCCGGGTCCGAACTAGCAAATATTATATTGCTATCCCCAGAAGACTTGTTGCCGGATCTGTATAGAACGCCGTGGTCTTCTATGCTATCAAGTGGCATAACATACGGATTGATGTTGGCACTTCTGCTTTGATGAACTTCGTGCGTGATCTCCGATGTAATGCGATCACGGAGCAATGACAAAATTTCATCTGGAAGCAAAGCATAGTTCCCTTTTTTAAAGCGCTTGCCATCATCAGAGGATTTGAGGTTAGATTCCGGCAATTTGAATGCTGAGACATCATTCAGAAAAGTCCCCCGTGTATCTGATTGGAAGGAATACAAGAAGTCTGGAACCAGTTGTCGAATCGATGGCGGCAGTGCAGAAGCAGCGAAGAGACTCTTTAGTGCCTGCCTGCAACAAAATTGCCTCAGAATTGTTGATGCAAGCTCATCTGAAGAAATAGCAATCAGGTCAATTGTTATGTTGGAAGCTGAATAACTTACCCATTTTGCTGTTCGTATGGGTTTGCTGCAGTGCGTAATTCGCACGTTCGAATCCAAAGCACCATATAGAAGGTGCTGGTCCCAGTGTCCGCAGAATATCCGGTAGATGAAGAATCAAGTGCTGGTTTGCACGAATAGTGGACCCGTGAAAAAGGGCAAGCATCTCCTTTAGATATCGATGCATGTATGCACGACATTGGTCACGCCTCTCCGGCGTTGTGATGCGCATAGAGGCTAATTTGACTGCTGTCACGAGATCCATGAAGTTTGCAAGCAATTGGAATGCACGCGAGTCTTCACCGGAGGTCCCCCATAGGAAAATCAATGACGTAGTAAGATGAATAGAGCAGAATGTACACCACTCGTCCACACCCAGTCCAAGCCCAGTGGCTCTGCTCGATGATCCGATGCGCCACGGAATTCTGCTCACCCAAGACGGCATGATTATCGCGTCCATGTCAGTCCATACAGTCTTGAGGACATCCCTTCCGAGAACTCTGCTCTTCTTCACATACTTTCTAGGGTCCATGACCAGACTTCCATCTCCTTTGATGATGCCTTGTGTCGCACGCTGTGATACCTCTCAGCCAAGCTCATCAAAGGGTTAGAATGGGCACGTACGTATTCATGCAGCGCAGATAAAGCAATGTCTCTCGTAATATCTTCTGCGTCAATTCTGTCTAGTCGCATCCTGCACAGAGCACGTAGGGCAGCTGTTGATAACTTCGCAAGTTTCTGCTCGCTGCCATGTTCCAGCAGATATTCTGCATTGGCTATCTCCTCACGAGAAATGTGCTCGTCAGCGACCTTGATCAAAGGTCGGGTGCTTGACCCGGGCACGTTTACCGCGCCCATAGTAAGCAAGATGTTCAACAAGCTACTCGCTCGCGAGAGATGGAACTCTTGTTGCAGAGCATCCTTACCCAGACCATGCGCCTGACGCTTATTCAACGTCCTCTTCTTGTCAGCACGTTGGTCGCATAATGAATTGAAATCGCGTACATATTGGAGCAGTTGCTCTACGAGTTCTCTCTTGTTTAAGTTGTTGAAATGCTCCGTAGGCTGTTCAAGCACTTGTGCGCACAGCTGGAGTAATAATGATGCAGGGAGCTTCCTCAATTCAGTCTTGGTACCCTCGCGAAGGATCTTCAACCCGTCTCTAAAAGCATCTGCAGCAGCTGGTGCATTTTGGCGAGTTGACGAAGTGACTCTACGATGAAGCAAATGTCCATTGTGGTCGATGATGCCTTGCGATAAACGCTGATAATAACTAATTAGTGAGTTTGATAAAGCTCAATTTGCAAACACTGACGTAGTTTGTGAGCTTGCTCAACAACGCTTTCTTCGAAAGACTCTGATAGTCGCTGGAACTTCCTCCCAATTTCAGCGCGCATAAATATAGCAATGTTTCATGCTTCATTCTTTGAAGAGTGGACGTTGGTTTCATTTGCAATGCTTCCATGGCATCCCGAATTTGCTGTTGATGTTCCGAGCCATCGCCTGGAACGTGTGGTTCGGGATTCACTATCGATCTTCTGTCGTCGTTGATCCAGCTGGACCAGCCCTCCTGAACACGCTATTGTTGTGCATCAGCAAACTTCCGAGCACCAGATCCTGAAAAATAACCACGCACACCAATGCTCTGAGACGGTCAAATAGTGTGTCCTTTTTTTCCTGAAAAGCGCAATTCCTGTTCTTTACAGAGTTGTTGGAGCACACCCACTTTCAGGTTATTGAGAGCCGTATTTGAACCAGCACGTAGGATTACATGTGCCGCTTGCATTTCCTTTACTGAGGGTAGTGTTCTTGATGTGTTATAAGTGATGCCTTGAAGATCGCTTTCAACGTCCACACTCACACCCCAAATCTTCTCGATGTGAGTTCCGAATGCATTAAGGAAGAGAGCATGCATCGGATCGAGCGCAGTAGATTTAACTGGATCCCAATAAGGCAAACGAAGAAGTTCTGACCACCGAACTCCAGTACGATCATAGATTTCCAAGCGCTCCTCAATGCTGTCTGCGTTCCTCCATTGTTCAGCATGTGACCGATGCTCAGCACATGTGCGCATGGGCCAGCTATTCCAGTCCAAATTTTCTATGTTGTCAAGTCGTAGAAGACAAAATGAACAGAAGTAATGATGATTGTGCCCAGTGAAACCGCCCATCTGGCGAGCTGCAAGTATGTCGCAAACAAGAGCGGCTATAGCACACTTGCAAGTTTTACCAGTTGGATGTGAGGGGGTTGCACTGAAGCAAACACCATGAAACCATAGTTGCACGAAATCGTCTATCAAGGGTGTAAGCACTGGATTTATTTCATCCAAAGAGGGGTGTGTCGGACCGGGAATTATGCCGGCGAGGAAGAGGTTGTCGGTCTGGTAGCGCAAATCAGGTGGAAGGTTTAGACATGCAAGGTATATGGCAGCAACAGAGCCTGGAGCGCCACCTCGTCCGTGAGGTTGAAGTCCATCCATACACAAGCTAAAGATGTACCGTCCTTCACCGGTTCCAGCCTCTAGGAAGAGTTGACCATCTGGACTGCGCAGAGCTCTGACGGTTTCCGTATCGGTGATGTCTCCGCATGCATGAGGCGATCCATGCGATTGTAAGATATTTCGATCCATGATAGACTCCAACCCAGGGCGACAAAGTAATCGTCCGAGCCAGATTTTGAAATCTTGATAGATGAAACGGCGCGCGGGGAAAGCGGTCAAGGTACCCTTGAAGTTTTGTCTTATACGGAGAGGTGAGTTGCAGGGGGCACTACGAGGAGTAGGCCGTGCAGAACAGTGGTCAGGATACCTGTCGCCATGATCGAGACGATAGAGGGTGAAACAGGCAGAACAACAAACATATGATGTGGTTGCAGGAAGCACGTCTATGGCCCGCAATAAAAGGCGGACATCAGATGGTATATTGTCGACCATAATCTTCTCTTCCGGTGCTAGCGGCTGTCCATCGGAATACGCAAGCCATAGTATTGATCGGATGCTCGCTAAAACAAAGACGCAACACCTGATGGAAACATGACAGAGAAGATGTAGAGTTGCGACCAACAGGTAGCACACAATTAGGAGTGGATCTGATTGGGAAGTGAATGGCTTGAGAAACCTCTCTGGTTGATATGCCGCAAGATGGATCAGCATGCGAAAGTAACGACAATGATGAACACGTACCTGTGGAAATTACATGCACATCAGATGTAGGATCCCCTTCAGATTCGGTCGATGCCAATCTCTGTTTCTCCCATTCCAGCATCTTCCACTCCTCCACTTCTGCCAGCGCTATCTCTAAATCGCGAAGAAGCACGGAAAAATGCAGTCTGATGTGATCAACTGGATGACTTCTGTGCTGTTCGACTTGAAGATATATGGCAAGGAGCCACTCCTCGAAGTCGAGTAGAGCCGAATTTGAGGAATGATTGTATTCAATGGCGAAACAGCCCTGGTTGATCTCTCTTGGTCCGGTCTGCAGTGCTTGAAAAGCAAGTGGAATTGAAGACACTCCAGGGGTGGAAACGAAGGTGAGCGCTCCGTGGTCTGCAGCTACAGCAATCCTACAGTCCAACTCTGTTCTAACCCTGCTCAACATCTCTAGTGCATCGTCCTGAAAATTGGATAAAATGATTGGTGCACCATAAGACATTGCTGAGGGTCCTGCTCCGTGCATGCTGTCGTTTTCGTGGAGATGGTGCATACCGCTACTATAGAAGTTGGATGTACTTTTGCTTGGCAGGTCCACCGTGGACTGGGACTCGCGTCGTACAGATGCTGCATCACCTTCGGAGAGCAGCATGGAGGCTGTAGGCAGACAGATGTCTCCTTGATGGTCTGTCCTTCGGTGATCGTCTCGCTCGTTTCTTCCAACGAATTTATCCAGGACAGAGTGATCGGTGCGGGGATCGAGAGAAAACGTCTGGGCACATCGCGAGCATTGACACAGATATGTTCTCGATGGTCGGTATGTGCGAGATGTCTTCAACATACCAGCATTCCCTAGCAGCAGAAGGGGGAATTAGATATACAATCAAGTATGACTCGAAAACTGCACTCGTTGAGTCACGCATCCAAGTGCTTCCACAACGTGAGGCAGTGCACTTTTACTCATAATGAGGCCAACATGCCTTGTTACGTAGCCCACGAAAAGCATCGAAAATGTAATGCAGAGGGTACGTACCGCCATGCGTCATGACAGATTGGACGATAGGTTCTGCGGCAGCACAGGGCAGCACGCGTACATTGATGAAGCGCTAATCACTTGCTCCCCAGAAGGGCGCTGTACATTGCTTGGTGTCATTTGTGGCTCAAGGCACCTTTATTGTTATTCGGATCTTGCAGATAATCTGAACATCCCGCTTCACAACAAGGGAGAGCAAGGCATCTGCCGCCAACGGCGGCACTTCTCGAGTAGCACACATCTCACGATGTATTCAAGCCTGCATGCATGGTAGTACCTTTCCATCCCACGCTGGCACTTTTCTCAACTGCAAGGATCACTCCGAGAGCGGTTTGTAAACAGTAAGTGCAAACTTGCTGAGCCTGGCGAAAATGCTAGTCATAGTGCCGATAACATGTTCACGGAACACTTCTCGATATAACAGGTATATCTAGCTACAAAACTTGTGGAATAGACATTTGGAGGCAAGTTGACTTCGCTCAGACATATCGAGCCGTCAATTTCTGTACCTTCAGTGACCAGGAGACCTGAAGATTTGCACGGGCCTCTACCGAGTCCTCGCTCTCCTGCCCCTCACTGTGCACGTCCTGGAACATCACAAATCTGTGCTCCACCCCACTGTGCTCCTGATGGATGTGCTTTTCTAGTGTATGGAAGCTTATGGGACGAGTGCTATTGCAGCAACGCTGATAAACTGAAGGGAAGGAGGGCCATAGCAAGCGAGATCAGGCATGGAGCATGTGCCGCGAGGTATCCTTGGAGCGATAGGCACAACGGCTATAGACAGTATGAGTTCAAAAGATGGCCTTGTGCAGATTGAATCAATATGATGACTCACTTGATTTATTCATTCCGGCACATATGGTCCTACCGGTGTGCTGCGCTTCTCCCAAAAAACATTTTGATGTCCATTTTGAAGCAGGGTCGATCCATATGACAGCGATTGCTGTGAGTCTACAATCACCAAAAATTGAAGGACTGCTCAATGACGAGGTCAGAAGAGGAGATAAACACCGCACTTATGTCGGGCATATGCCCTACGATAGTCAAAGCAGCGCGCTGGGGATTAGTCACTTTGCACTTGTCTGGCAGCTTATTTAGAGTGGAGTAGCGGTAAAGATTGATATGCTACATTGGCGAAAGTTCTCAACACTTCGTTGCGAAGTCACGGAAGATCAAGACGCTCCTCCAAATCCACAAAAAATAATGTTGCAAATGGGTATGGTGCCGGCGACACATGGACCCAGGCACGCTGCCCTGAGTGGTCTAGTTCAGAGTCCGTTGCATCCATCGCATCCGCAAGAGAGTCCTGTATGTATCGTTGACGATTCCAAACAACCGACAAATGTTTTATAAACTCACGACGTTGACAGCTCCTCGACCCACGAACAGCTCGCCATCCGACGTCACCGTAACAGAGGCATGGGGAGTTGTTCGAGGAAGAAATGAAATGCGGGAAAGCCTAGGGCCTGTGCTCGTCGCTTGACGGACGTCTTTCAGAAAGCACGGAGGGTTATGCAGCTGACAGGATCATACGTCGGCATCGTGAAAGCCTTTTGCGCTTCGAGCGCTGCTGGTGCCAGTCACCAGATAGCTGTAGGACGTCGACCAATCTCTCCATCGATTAATCTTTCCATTTCTAGCACTCGATGATCGAACGTCCAAATTGTTCAAGCTGCCCGTTGATCTGCACGCTGCAAGAAACATCAAAGAAGTAAGTGCGGCATCAAAAGATGGAGCGCTGTAACGGCACCTGCTTAAGAGTCAGACTGGCCAGTTTTGCACATTGCATGGATAAAGGGCTGCCCATCGGTGGCAATGGAACGGAGCAACCAAGGGCCCCGACAGACAGCGGACTCCGTCGTGCATTTTTATACAAAAATGACAGCACTGAGTGATCACCGCTGAATGGTTACAAGGTGAGAGGGGGATCGACCAGTCTAGCAAGAACCATTACGCTACCAAGGGTTCTCACCGGTAAAAGATCTTGGATGCAACCGCGTGGCATGATACCTTGGTTCAAGAATGTTATGACACCATGGGTGCTCACTATTAAACGGTCTTCGATGCAACCGCGCGGCGCGATGACCGGGTTCAAATCAGAACTTGGAGGACTTCAGTCAGGCACAACCGGGCATGAACGAAGAATGCTCCCATGAACGCAAGCTAGAAGTAGGCTGAAAGAGCCGTCGCAGTGGGAGAACGCATGGGCCCGACGATCGCTTGTAGTTCGAAACCTCAACGAAGCGATCTTGAAAAGAGCAAAGGTGGATGAGTGGACACACCGGAGGAGAGACCTAAAGTTCAGATGTGTTCCCAACGAAGCATCTGCAAGATACACCCTATGTCACCAGCAGCTGGCTCTGTGTATGGAGGCATCAGAATCAGTTGGATGCCGTCACAGATCGCTCGCGAGCAAGAAGAGCAACGATTTTGCTCAGTTGTCGGTCGACTGTTGCTCTACATGAATTTCGCTGTCCACTTTATAACTCCTTTTCTCTCACGAGGATTGTTGGGGGACTATGTGTCGTCCGCTACAATGTTGCAATCACGCATAGCTGATGTAAAGATCTTTAACGTGCCTCCCATTACCCTATCCCTCCACCGCTATATGGAGAGTGGATGTTAGGTGGTCCTACCGACGAAAATGATTAAGGGACCTTTGAGGAAGCTCGGATGGGTGAGTCTCATAACGCCGACTGATAGCTATATAAATTTCATGACAGTAATTGTCCCTGATAATAGATTCCCAATGCTCTGAACCCCACTAAGTCGACTAGGCGACAGAGGCTCACCCTTTCCTTGATGCCTCGTACCAATGTACCTGGACGGCCGTATGTGGTCCTCATTCTCGCCGACATGGCATCTATGCATGAACGTTCAATACCTGCAATATGACACACGTGCGACCAACAGACCATCAGCGTAGTATAGAGCCCGTATCTATTTCGCATCTGGCTGGCGAATGCTGAGCAGCTTGCATTCTATGCGTTTATCCCATAGTCAAAGTACAGTTCTCGATTTCTCAGCATGCCTACTTACGAAAGAAGAGAGTACTATTGGGTGGGATCGCGTCGTGTTCGCGATCTCCGAAACCTAGCGTTGGAGGTACCTTGATCAACCGCTCGCCTCCAATTTTCATACCAATGATGCCGCTATCAATCGCTGTGAATGATTTTGTCAGCTCTGCGATGGTTATCACACACCTGAACCTGTACCAACCAGGCAGGATGAAGCCTTGTCCCAAAGTGATCTCCGCCTTCACAAACTGACAGTCGAACCATCAGTGCAACGGAGACTTTCAAACGTTCAAGACAAACCGGTGTTCCTTCCATGCTAGATTGTACTGTGACCTCGTTTGCTAGCTGAAGCCGATACCACATCGAGATTTCATCCCCTCGAGCCGCACGTAGCGCCCCTGAACCGACTTTGTGATCCTTGATCACGGCCTCATTGAATAGCGGCACGGCCGGCTGCACGTAATGCGTATGTCCTTCCGCTTGCAGATTCTTGGTGCTCGTGGCCGATCGACGAGGTGCGCCCAGCAGCGACTTCACCGGAATCGGTGAGGCTGCAATGGACGACTCTGAGCTGGAATCTCCTGTCGTTTCAGTTGAACTTGCAATGCGCTACTCCGGGTTCAGAATAGCATTTTTATCACTCGGGGCACCCGGCACTCACAGCACGCTTTGCGCCAACTACCGTAGGTGATGCCGCAAAAGGGCTGCACCCAAATTGATGCGAAATTGCCTTCCTTGGCGAAGAGCCTCTTATTGAACTTGCAGAAGGAATGGCATCCACCTCGTGATGAGCAATGGAATGCAGACTGCTCGTAGGCACAAACAGTGGCTCGACCCTAGCGCGCTTTTTACCTTGAGGCGTGCTGGAAGGCTCTGCACACGATGACCTGGTTTTGACTTTATCAGTATACGGACAGGACGTTTGAGGGAGTTTCTCACAGCTTCTCCGCTAGAGCGGGAATCAAAGATGTTCCAGTGATATTTTCTCGTGAGATTGCTGGAAGTCAGATGAGCAGAGTGCTTCATCGGATTGGACGAGCAGTGCTAGCACACCTATGTAATTTCCTGACAGGCATACAGAGCTGGTACGTTTTTGATAAGGGACGATAATAACATCTGGAGCGTGCTTTACCTCTTTCCAATGACCTCAAATGCAATATAATCATTCTCAACCAGTGTGATCTCGAGAAGGTGGTGCTCGACCTGGAAGAACTGAGACAGTGCCGTTGGAGGAGATTGCAATAAACCAATATACCTCGCGAGAAATAAGCGTAAAGAGAATCACGCGCTCAATCTTGTTCGACGAATTCAAGATAGGAGAGACCACACCGGACTGTTTGAGGGGCATCATCCAGAGCGAAGTCCGACTATGAGTGTGTGCAATGGAGGTAGCATCGTCTACGATAAGGGCGGCATTCGTGATGCGCAAGTTGACATGTTCCGGAATGAGAAAAGTGGTGCGGCCAGGTCGCAAGGTGGCACCCCTACAATTAGAGCATCAGTGATGCCTCTAGGTTCATAGAAATGCACGCAGGATCAAACCAAGACGAGATAACGTGGCCAACAGACATGATGGAGAGAAAGCGACGTCGTCGAGGGTCAGCACACGTCAGATTGACTTTTATTCCCAGGACAGAGTCATGCAGAGGCATCCGCTTATTCACCGCCTCGTATAGAAGACAATGTGCGATAGATGCCATACAGGAGAAAAAAAAGTCGATTCACTGCTCCGAAGAGAAGACAATGAGTCATCCCACAACTATCGTAGGCACGTGATCAGATCAGATCACCATAAACAGGAGAACGCCTGCAAGCAGAGCACGAAGAGGAGACTGGTCACAACGGATTAACTAATGGCGAGGCTTCCTGTGAAACTAGCCAGAGTCCATGCACGTTGGATATGTGGCGGCTCTGCGATCCCATCGTTCCAAAGGCGCCGATGTTCAAATCGCTGCCAATGAACCGTCTTTTCGAGTCGCCGGCGATGCACGTCAGTTGCAGGGTGTCCGATGTTATATCACTAGGCCAGGAGAAAGATATGCAGTATAGTGCATTGTAGCTAATGTGCCAGCAGCATGAAGAGGAACATGCGGCTTGGCAGGTGCCGAGAGGGGTGCAATCAGAGCAGATAGCTCATCGAGGAGGAATACCACATGCGCGGAACACCACTGTTGATACGACACCGAGAGCCCGTCAGTCAACAGAGATACTACGACCAAACAGCACACGTACGAGGCTCTGAGCTTCGCGAACGGGATGTGGCGATAAGTAGACCAATGCCTACAATCTGCATACGGCCGTTAGACTCCTACGGGGATGTGTTTGGGCTAGATGACTTAAAATGCAATGGGATAGACGACTCGAAATGCAATGTGCACTCATCAACCTGACTTTCGAACGTTCATGGATGCCTCAGTGCTGCTATCAAATCGTCATTTCTAGTCCGCAATAAGCTCCATGTCGGTTCTCCCCCAATCGAGGCAAATGCTTCCACTAGAGCACTCACCGACAGGCTTACGACCGACTCTTTACTTGCAGGTCAGCAATAATGCGCTAGAGGTACATCAGAGCGATTCGGCTGGCGTGATTCGGCTGGCGTAGTGCTATGAACGAAGTCGACATGATAACGAGACTTGTGCTACAGCGAATATGTCAAACGGGTGTTTGACAGGAGCTACGGTGACAGACGTCGATGGCACGCTCAATGTGGGTAGACTCGCACGGGCGGCGCGTGATTGGCCACGACATCGCTCTGAGTCCTTCCCAGGCTATTCGTGCCAAACATGGCTGGCGGTCATCATTTCCAGTGATTTCTATCGCAGAGATCGCGGACGCGTTCTCTGGTTGGGGCTACGCAATCGGCCATGAGCAAGTCGCGCGCCTGACGCCTCAATGCCTTGCTATCTTCAAGTAGGACGCCACTTAATGCGCGGTATAATGCCCGTCTTGTGTAGCGTCCCGGACACTATGTCCTCGATTACCAACATACAGAATGAGCGCAACATGGAGTTTTGGAGAATGGAGGTGGCTGACTAAGACGGTGCCCTCTTGCGGTGTCTTGCCCCGTCTGCTCCTTGAAGGTACATAGTTTCGCCCCAGGATCCTTCTCGCTCGAGCTCGCAACTCCACACAGGTCAGGACCGAGGGTAACCCTGATGATCGATGCTGTGTGCTGAAAGGGCGTGTTAATCGTGGACAACGTCTCGTTACACCGACGTGAACACGGGCACGGAGCTGACCGCTGAGGCGGAGAATGCGCAGAGAAGGCACACCAATTATTTGTGTGTGCCTCGGCATGCATTATCGTGGATGACATCATTCTTAGGTATTCTCGTCGTCGACAGCAGGCTTTCCGACCCTGATCTTGCCATTTTCTTCCAGCGAAAACTGTTACTCGACGTGTAGTGAAGCGGATGTCTAATGCTGTTCCCACCCAGAGCATGTCTCCATGCTACCGAGAATTCATGCATCCAGATGCGACGAGCGAGAGTGCCGATGAAATTTTAGATGTGAGCCTCTCTCATTCACTCTCGTTCCAGACATTCATGCTAGGTCGGTGTTGCTGTCGTAGGAAGTGTATACTCCACGACAGTCCATTCAACTATCAGCTGATAGAGGCGGAGGTGTGGTATTGCCTCGATCCCCATATCAACGAAGAGAAGCAGAAAGGGGATTGCATACGGGTAAGATGGTGTACGCACAGTGGGAAAAGGTTGTTTAACTAGGTGATCAGGCCTCGCGCTGAATACAAATGGCCAGTTTGACATGCGCTTGTTCTCTACGGTATGACTTGAACGAGTAGGATGTGAATGAGAAAGCGTAACTTATCCCCCCCACCTCGAGCAAGAACTCCGCACAGCATCGCAGCATCATCTGGCCCGACCTCGTGTAGGATGCATCAGAATGGAACGAGCCAAGCCCTTCGATGTACCTTCTTTTTTCTAGATCGCTGCGGGTCCTTCCTAAGCACCATTTGCATGGTGAGGACATTCTGCTCCATGCGACAGCGGTGATATTTCCAGGCAAGACCTCGCATTTGCGGCCCAATAGATTGCCATACAGCCAGCCTTCTGACATCCCATGATTGCATCAAAATCATTCGCACCCGTGCTATGTGGAAGCAATTCTCATGCGGTATTCTCATCTGACGGTGGGCCTTCTTCGTTGCCTTCGCAAGACTCCCGGTTATCGACAGCATGCATATGAAACTTCGCAATAATTCTGTGCATGGTAGGAACGGAGACGAAGAAGGTTCCAGGCCCGATGGAGAAGACCTCCAAAAACAGTCGAACGGATTGAGGTTCTGGACGACTGATGGCGGCACTCCGAGGCGTGTATTGTCGTCCACCTAGAGATACGTGGATGCGCTGTTGGCAAGGGATATATACATACATGATTTGTATTTTATGTCCGGAAATCAAGCATTGCTGATTCTGCACGCGCCTTCTCGTAGCCGCAGCGATCTCGTTTCCGTCATACTATCTATCTGATTGGGGTTGAAAACGCGGTCGCGGCATGTGCTCATGTGCATTCTCTCTCAATGCTATAAGGCCATCAATCTGATGGTGCCACACGGTCATTTGACTCATGATGCCGTCCAATCTCCCTGACGAGGCTGAGCTATTGGAAAGGCTAGAGGACCTCTTTCTATCTGCTGTTACCGTGCATGTCGAGCGATCGCATTCGGGCAATAAGGTTCGATTGTATCCTGAAGAGATTCGGGTGCTATTATCGGATTTCTTACGTGCAATTGCAGACCCTGAGCAAGCAGAACTAATTGATGCACTATTGGACGAAATTCTACCCATCGACATCCTGCAAGGGGCACTATATGATGCATCTTTCATGCTACATCGCTCTCTGACGAAGTGGCACTCACTGCATGGCCCTGTAAACCACTTGCTGGTGGACGCCGACACTCCAATATTTGACAATGCTCATAGAAGCCATGTCTCCAGCGACGACAGTGGCCAGGACTGCGATATTTTCATCGGAGATGCGCCCAATTTAGGTAATTGTCCACCGGATAGCATAACGATGAACACAGCTAAATGTCAACTATTTTTTCAGGTCATCATCACGTTGTTCTAAGAAGGCTTAGGGATATAGATGCCACAATTGCGTATTTGAATGCCACAGCAACCGATATACAACTAAGTATGAATGAGCGGGAAGAAGATATGGAGGCCAATCGTCAGGAGACGAAAAGGCGTCTGAAACGGATTGATAACGACCTGGTCGGTTAGCGTCTCGCGTATCTATCCCATCATTCTCACAATGCAAATGACGAAGCAGCGTCAACTATCAAAACTCAACACTGTGACCTGCGCTGTGGATGCGATAAGTGACCGAGTTGGAGAGCTCGAAAGCTCCGTTCGCTCGATACGCAAGGCCTTAAAACTATTGCAGGGTGCGTTGTCTTGGAAGATCTGCGCATAATGGTAACCGATACAGACTCACCGTAGACGGCAACACATATCACACTGTATGCAATTCTGGCTCACATACTGAAGCATGCATTGCAACTTGCATCTCTTCGCCACTATCGACTGGGTGTTCTATTAAGAACCCTTCCGTTGGCATGGCTGGACTGAGCGATGCGATTCACACTCTGAGGAACTCGGCTCAGAATGCTCGTGATACCTCCATGAGAAATTATGAACTTTTCTCTGAGGAACTTGCGGTGCGTCCTCCGATAGTCAATTCAAGACCGAAAACAATGTACAATCTTTGAGCAGAACGTTGAGGTTGTGGGCGATTCTCGACTGTTATTCGTTCCCCAATGCTTACAGCCTACGCCATACGTTCCCATGCATGATGTCAGCGTCGACGTGACTGACGAATCAATACAAACCTCGAAATGCAATTACCCCTCTCAGAAGCCGGTAAGTCACCCTTCACCATAGCGTGCGGCTACTAGTGAATAGATTCTGAGGAAGAAATATGATAAACCACAGCCGGAGGATCGCCAACATTGCCAGAATGCCCCAGTTGCTCAGCGAACTCGCAACCCAAGCAGGGTATCACCAATCGGCGCTGAGTTGTACGGAACTACACCTGCTACATCTTCCGCGAAGACTTCTTTCATAGCTGTGGTAGGTCTCTGCCATCATGAGTTGAAAACAGGCTCTGCAACAGTTGATTGTACAGACTTATCACTCATCTGTGATCGATGCATTTTGCACTATTCCAAAACGCTTGCAGATGTACTTCGTGGAAAACCTTTATCTGCCTGGTAGTAACTATGTGGGCAGCTATTGCACCCTGTATGTGCTCGGTTTCGGATGGCTTCTAACAGAGATAATTTGACACCATGGGAATTTACAGATGCGATGGAGAAAACGTGCATCGCAAACTGACTTCAGTGCTTTACATCTACTACAGGCGACTGCAAATGTCATCGATCTCAACGCTCGCATGTGCATGTGGCGCACTGCAAAGTGCATCAATGCTGCACATTGGTGCTTTCATGATAGGATCAGTCACAATTCTGTACATCTGGGATGTTATCACGATTCTCAGGTCAAGTATGACATCTGTAGCTCCCGAGGGCTTCCATACTTTGTAGCTGATGGACCACGTCTCATACGCCTCCGTGCACACGATACGTATCGAGCCATTCCATAATAAACAATGCAATGAGTATGAGGGCTCACGGCAAACAGGTCAGGTCCCGTGCTGAGTGCCAATGTGGGTGCGATTACGAGCCTCTATTGTTCCACATTCAGCGACGGGAACCAATAACATGCAGAGTCGCTGGATCGTCGAGTGCAGTGGCCCCGTGACCCTCGTGCACACAGATGATGGCAGCCTCGCGATCACTCATCGCCTTGGAGATCTTGAAGGAAACGCTGATAACGATGGGAGCATAAGGATCAGCAACGTATGTAGACGCCGAACGGGATCAGCACATGCACCTGCGCATCCTCAGCAAGCCTCTCGTCGCTCACGTGTTCACTCTGTCGTCCAAGAGATATGCCGTACCGTAACAGTTGTTCCAAAAGGTATTGGTCGATGCTTGCTTCGTTATCGTTCACCGACGGAGAAGGTGTCTCTGCCGGTGGAGGAGGCTGTGAAGCTGGTTGAATCCCTTTCATCAGTCCGACGCACGTTCCCAATAGCTTAAGAGTCACTTACCGGCCTGCATCATCAGCCATTCCTGCCTCAGCAACTGCGGAATCGTCATGCGGCATTTAGGATCCCGCTTAAGACAGCTCTGCATGTCCCCAATGATGGCTTCCGGTACGGGGACTGCTATGGGCTTTTCCGGATCAGGAGGATGAAGTAAAGACACGCTCTCGGGGAATATGATGAGATGCGAGGCGTCGAGTATGGCTTGCATCTTGTGGATCATGGACAAATGATAAAATGGTGGCTTCCCATACACCATCTGGAACAAGATGCAGCCCAGAGACCATACGTCACTGGGCCGGCCAACTTTGAGTTTGTAATTACCACTGGGGGTTTGGATGGCTTTGGGCGACATATAGTTGACGGTGCCAATCTGCGTCGACATCAGCAACCACCCGGACATGGAACAGCTGTGGGACGATTCGTACTTGGTAGTCACGATGAATGTTTGTGGTGTCGTTCGCGATGGCCTTCGCAATACTGAAGTCAATAAGCTTTAGCTGACCACGGACGAGTACAAAGTTAGCAGGCTTGAGATCTGAGTGAACAACTTTCTCTTCATGAATAATATGGACGGCTTGCAACATCTGCAATTCGGGGGTATGGTGAGCATTTAGGCACATTGAAGCAGTTATTCTCACTGACTTGTTTCCAATAATATGCTATCCACACTGGATCCAGAGGGTACCTTTGCTGTTCCTGCAATAATTTCGCCAGATCTAGTAGGCGACGTGTGAATTTGCTAGCTTCTTTCGCGAATGGCACGGACACTCACCAATCTCACCATACTCCATCACAAGCAACAGATGGCCTCTCGACCCATGAGGCCCAGGCTTGACCTCGCTATCGATGAGCCTGATGATGCGATTGTTGCCTGAGAGGCGCCTCAGAAATGATACTTCATTCATATAGCTGATCATTGTTTCTCTGTCAGTCTTCTCGAGTGCAACCCGCTTGATTGCGAAGATCTCGCTTGCCGGACTGATTACGCGGTACACGCGAGATGACCCGCCCTTGCCTATCACATCAAGGCGGGTGTATGACTTCTTATTGACCTGTACGCCAAGATCACATCAATTAATGTACGCACCAAGCCCAGCTGCACGACATACGATGATAGTATGCCATCGCGTGTCAGAGCCGGGCATAACGCTTGGCGCTGATATTGCTGCTGCTATCGAAGCTGGCTGTGCGTGTTGAGATGAAGGGAGGCTCGCAGACTCACTAACCGGCTGTGACCTCGACCCATATGCGATGTCTTGATCCCAGTCTCCCCTGTCACCATCAGCGAACGATCGACCAGCTGAAGGTGCCTCCGGTTCCAACACTGTGGCTGTCATGCTCGTCGCGAGCATGTCCGACGAAGAAGGTCCACACATTCCCATAGAGGTTCCTGGTCGCAGAGAGGCTTGTTGAAGCTGCAAATTCGATAAAGCAGACACTTCTGGCTCCGTCTTCGCTTTCACGGACGCACCGAGGCTCATAGAACGACGTGGCCTGGCATGACGTTTGTGCTGCCGCAGCCACGGATCAAGTGTACTGCTCTCCTCAGTGTCCGGGCCCTCTACGACTTTCTCGAGGTTCCTATTCAAGGAGCGCGTAGAATGGAAGGGGATGGAGGAGCGCAGCGATGGTCTTTGTGCGTTGTTGCCGTTGTTATGCTTTTCCTCCTCAACGGCTTGAGGTTCGGATCAGAGGAGAGCCTCCGCCTCCCGGAGTTCTTCTCGTTTGACATGGCATGCTCCACCCATTCTGCGTGCAGGGTCACTTCCGATAGACGGCCGCGCAAGGATTGACCGAACAGAAGACAACGCGGAGGATGCAGTTCTTTGGGGAGAGCGTGGTGCATGGACCAGAGTGCGTTCAGACGAGCTCAGCAGGCTCTCAGATTGAACGAGGGGCAACGAATCTGAACATGAGTTAAGTAGGGAACGTCTGCTACCTCCAACTCTGGGAGACTGTTTCAGAGTGGGAGGCAGATCCTGTGTGGAAGTCTTGGGGGAACCCTTGGATATCCTTTTATAATTACCTTCCGAATCCATTTTATACGAGAAAGAAACATCATAGATTGAAATATCCGACACTGCATCGGACAGCGCAGGAGACGCATCGGCATCGGCATCAACGTTCGTCGTATGCGGAGGTGTCGGGGGTGGCTCAGCGCATGAAGTGGCATCAGCGTCAACGGTCGTCGGTGGCAGAGTTGTCGGGGGTGGCTCAGTGCATGAAGGAGAGGCAAGCATCGCTAATGGCACACTTGGAAGAAACTTTTCCGAGCTTTGAAGCGAAATGGTCGCGGAGAACATGCAACTTCAAACTCGACGAGATTCTCACCTCTCGAATCAGAGTTTGATGCACCATTTTCATGGTCGAGTTTTGAGCATAGTTTTAAACATGTATCGAACCCTTGCTGTACAAAACTATCTAGTTTTCTCCAGTCTCCGTGCTCGGTGTACATGATAGCATGAATCGATTGAGAGAAACGTGTACACGCGTGAAGCTGCCTCATAGTCATCTAGACCACCATATTTGCAATGTTCATACCAGCCTTGAACCTAAAGTTCTCCTTGCGGAGTCTGATGGAAGCCAGTATATCTTGCAAAATCGCTATCTTCACCTCATATGTCTTTTCCTCCTCCTCCAATTGACGAATAGCTGTAGAGTGCTGGTTAGGATAGATGCACGTGAAGGGATTAATGGTGGTGAAATCAGCAGCTCCTACAGCTGAGTCTGCTTGGTAAACCTTTCAGTATTGGGTCGGGCGAAGGATGGGGAAGGTCTCACCATTATTGACGTGAGTTTCAACCTGCTCACAAAAGGACGCTGGCGAAACCATGCTGCAGCCCTTACGAGAGAATTTGCACTCTGTGCACTGCCTCTTCCCTTTCAGCGGGATGCAATCTAAGTTCTTCCTGTAGCACCGGGTACACTGCTGTCGCCGTCCGCCTTTGGCGTCATCGCCGGAAATGTCGGCAGCGATGACAGCGAGTGCGTCAATAACTGTGCTGTCAGACTCGAAATCCGCCGGCGCATTTCGCTCGTTGATGGTAACGAGTGCGTGCTTGGAATCGGCGACGGCGGTGGCGGCATCCTTGCTGCTAGCTACCACTGGTAGGTTGCTGTCTGATGAAGGAGCGGGCTTCGCGTCTTTGCTGGGGGAGATCACGAAAACGTCAGTGAGGTCTAATTTACCACTCAGTATGGCATCAGCGGCCTACCTGCCACTAACGTTGAAATCAGGGATGCCTAGGGCAGGCTGTGTCTTCTTGTTCATAGAAACCGCAATCACAGGGGATGACACATTCGTGACGATGGCGGACTTCGCATCGGGGGTGATACGATCCGGCAGGCCACCGGAAGGAACCGCGTCATTCTCGACCGGTGCTCTCTCATTCGTCGTGGCCTTGGGCTCCATGTCCGCCGCAGCGTTTGCCGCAGTGGCAGATGGAGGATGAATCGGACCCTGTCACGGTACGTGGTCTTCACTGAACGGAATCGGGCGTTTTTGTTTCCACGCAGTTCGAATTGTGATGGGAGTCGGAGGTAAGAGGAATATTGGTTGAGTCGACATACTTAAGTCTTTCTCGATCTTTGACTCCTCATCAGACGAACATATGTTCGCTTTAGTAGCTGGCAGCTTCTCCTGTTCATCCAACAGGTCTTTAAGAGATATGAAGTGATGCTCTTCGATGTCAGCGTTGGTGAATGCGAGATCCACGGCGTCTCTCAGTGCCTGCTCTCCGAAGCGAGTCTTCAGGTCGGGGAGGAACGTCGTGCCCCACACATACCATGCAGGGGTTGCAAGGGGTTCGACGAAGGCCCGCACATTTTCGCAGATGTTGTTGAAATCCACTCCAACCTTGTCTGCTCTGACCTCCTGAATCACCGTATCCTACATATCGCGTTAACCGAAGAATAATCAGTGTAATTGCACGCTCACTCACCATCCTGACAATGAAGCCCTGGAACCAATCAATGAGATTCTGAGCTTCATTCTCGTCAGTCGGAGCCTTAGGCATCCGCTTGTAGTGCGCTGCTAACTTGTGACGAGCTAGGAGAGCATCAGAAAGGCTGGTATACGGCGTCGCAGAGGAAATAGACATGATGGGATTGGGGTGGAGAGGAGGCGAGGAATTGTGTGTAAAGAGTATTGTTCACTTTACCACGTGTTCACTTTCCCTCGGTTGTTGTCACAGCAGACACACTGCAGGCATGAAGGCATTTATTCCCGCTGCAAATGCACTGAAAATGTGTTCTAAAGTGTGACCTATGCAACACTATGCCCTAATTAAGCAACTTTATTTCCCAAACAGGCAGTCAATTACCATTTCGTGTCATTAAGTAACGGTCGCAAATGCTTTCATGTCTGCGGTGACACGGCAGACATGAGCCAATTTACGAATATAGAAAATCGCGTGCGAATGTCGACTGATTTCTTACACACGTGACAAACATTTGCAAATATGGCACTTCAAATTGAAAGTTTTTCATTTGCAATCACAATGCTACGGAAACATATGAAGTCCCACATTCTAAAAATGGGAAGTGATATGTGCAACAATATTCGCGATTTGGATTTCGACCTGTTCGAAATTATGCTTACAATGGTTAACAATGCGATTGGATACAACATGGTGCCAAATTTAGGCTTTCATAATTTTAAATTTAGTGACATCCGGACGTCCAATGGTATTGGGCGCCTAGCCGTTCACCTAAGTCGGGCTTCAAAGCAGCCTGTCACAAGGTTTCGCATGCACACATATAAAAATATATTTATTTTGAGCTTTGCAATGTTCAGAGGAGGATTCATCGTGAGTAGCATTTAGTGACCACAATGGTCGGCACTTCAGATCATCACTGAGCCAAAATAATATGCAATTCAACACAATTCAATGCAATGCTATCGTATATTCGAAGCGAGGATCAACAAGAAGATGTATACAAAGATGTTGCTGCTAGAGATGCTGCTTAACATGGCGATCCATACTTTCAGGCTGACACAGGGGAATAACGGGCATTCTGCCGAATTGCTGGTGGAAAGACTTGCAATAGAAGGTAATTACCTTCCCTTCGTAGTCTGAGAGGTCCATCGCCAGAGCAAGCCACTGTTCCTCACTGATTTCTTCCCCTCCTGGCCAATCTCGCATGATCTCCGCCCACTTAAGTACTGCTTCCTGCCGCACATGCCAGTCTGAACTCATAAGCTTGTCGACAAGACCTGCACGCTGCCACATCAGTCAGAGTTGCTGCTTATCTGACCAAATCGTACGGATAGCCTTGTCGCGTGCATCAGCCATCCTCAACATATCATCTTTCAGATAGTGTATCAGCGCCAGCACGCGATCTGCGTTGAGCAATTTCAGCTGAAATGAGAGCAAACACAGCTCCCACGTGACTTCTGCTCGCAAGGGGAATTCTCCTGCATGCACAAGAGTGATCGACTCGTCGCCCCACAATGGCTTCATATCCTCGGTATATGGGGTGAAGCCATCCTCGAGAGTGAATCGAACAGCGATGTTAACACGTTCTGCTTGTAGTCTCTGGTGGCTTCCTCTGTCCGCACCATCTGCCTCACATCGTCTGTTCCCTAGCATATTCTCCATATGTGCGTCTAGCGGCTTAGGCAGACGCGCGATGTCATCCGGGGAGAAGTGGGTCATCACATCTGCAGGTAACAGTTGGAGAGGTGCTGTGTATGACCCTACGAGTGCAGTTCACCATCGTTGTGTGGTCATGAGCACACGACCATCAGCAGTAGGGTGTATGGCTTGCGAGATGCACCAATCTCGAAGGCGCACCCAATGATAGATCTGTTTGCTTACGACGTCATCAGAACCAGCATAGAAGAGCTGCGGCAGTGACAATGGGTACAACTGAGGCATGTTCGTCACTTGCCTGCACTCTGCGGTCAGCTCTAGATCTTCGACGATTTTGTGCCAATGCCAAGTCGGTGACGGCATCCATCCTGACACTGAGAGCCGCTGAAAGACTTGGATTGTGCGAGTGGGCGCCGATCCTGAGGGACCTGGCTTCGGAGCATGTGACTGAGCGAGGTGAGAAGCAGGGAGGTTTTGAATTTCTGGCACACCTGTCAGACACGCTGTTAGTAGTATGACCCATCGAGAGTAACGGTAATGTCTGCACCATCCCGGATGACAATTTGATGACTTGTGCCCGACTGTCGTGGTGGCGCATCTCGCTTAGACCTGGCCAGCACACTGTCCCGGGCAGTCTTTCTATACTTAGTGACATGGCTGGCTGGCTGGCTACCCTCACCTTGTCCTTCATCCTTCACTGGTGCACCTCTCAGAGGCTCTTCCTCCTTCACTGGTGCACCTCACAGAGGCTTTTCCTCCCACACTGGTCTTCTTGGTGGCTGGTCGAGCATGAACCGGTGCAGCTGCCAAGTTGGGTCATTTTGCAAGAGATCGTACATGGCGGTCTGGCTGTAAAGAGGCGCTGGCTGAGACCATCAGCCGTGCACCATTTCCAGCTCTTCGCTGAAACAGGTGCAGCAATCGATCCAGTCAGAAGCCTTGATGATCACTGTGTGGTTGGTGAGCGAGTATCCAGGCCATATGTACCACACAGGGACACTGTCACAGCGACGCTGGACAAGAGATCAAAAAGACTATAAAAGAACGGTCACGTGAAATGTGCCACCCTGATCCCCCTGATCCCTAAAGGTGGCTAAAGAGCCTAACACTCACACTCACTAGCTGTGTAGCAAGTGTCTGGAGAGATGATAAAAATATAATGGAGCTTGGAAAGCTCAGTGGTCGACTGGTAGTAGACGAGGAGAAACAATCTGAGGTTTCGTCCTCTACATGCTGGTCTTATATACACATACAGCAGGCTATCTTACCTAAGCAACCTATCTACAGGTATAAGCTAATGGCCATACATGAAACAATGGAATGTCCAGAAGTAGAACAATAAGTGAGAAGATCGATGGCTGTCGCAGCAACGTGTGTGAACATCATGCCTATCTTGGTTTTCCTTTGTTCTCTGGTGTGAACATTGTGCCTATCTGGACTTCTGGCTAAACTAATAGAAAGTGGAAGGCCGATGCATAACAATAGTCCTTGTTCTCTTTGTTCCTAAATGGGTGCCTCTATTGTATCCTGGAATAGACAGATCCGACCGTATCATCCACGGGTCTGGACCATAACATGTGATGTAGACTATCACCTGATCCCTACGCATCATGTCTGTGGCTGAGTGGCGTGGGATATTGGTGAAGCACGTGATCTGTGGCGTGAGTAAAGTCACATGGGGACTTTGTGACAAAAATCTGTGACACTATCCCCCTCTCAAGGCTCATCGTCCCGTAGAGCCAAAACCTTTGTCTCCTCATGCATGCTGATCTCTCAACAGCCCCTTGTTATCAAATGCTATGCCTTCAGCATATGCTTCAAAGATTATTTAAGCAATTCGGTCACCAATTTTGACTTCGAAGGGATGGTCTGAGTGATTGATCATTACAACTTTGAGTTCTCCAGTATAGTCTGGGTCGACAATGCTGGCTCCAATGTCTATTCCCCATTGTGCAGAAAGGCCACTTCATGGGGCAATTCTAGTGTACGTGCTGACTGGAGGCTCGAGTGTGAGTCCAGTCCCTACAGTTGCACATGAATGAGGTGGGATTGTGTGAGTTTCAGCAGCGCAGATGTCCCATCCGGCTGCGTTCTCTGATTCTTTAGTGGGAGCTTTGGCAGAGTTAGTCATGCAATGGTATACAAAGAACTCTTCATCATCTTCTTGACCAGTGAAAGTTATTCGGTGTGTGCTTTTGGGAGCGATTTCATACGAGGATAATTCGAAGCATTTTCCACCATATGCAATGACCCTGATTGGTGCTTTTGCAGTGTCCAGGTGCTGTTGGTGGAATTCTTGAAGAAGCTTTTCGGTGTTGGTGAGATTTGTTCGGGGTTCCCATGTATCGTCGGAATGGTCGTAGCCTTTCCATTTGACGAGGTATTGGACCCTTCCCCTCACGACCTTAGAGTCTAGGATTTCTTCAACTTCAAATTCTGGTTCTCCTTCGATTTCTATAGCTGGGGGCTTTGGGGGTTCACGGTTTGTGACCGTGTCTTGGTGGTACATAACCAACTTGCTAGCATGAAAGACCAGATGGACCTTCATTTGCTTAGGCAATTCTAGTCTGAATGTGACTGGTCCTAGCTTCTGAAGTACTTTGTAAGGTCCGAAGTTTTGTGTGCCTAGCTTTGCAGATTTGACTTTTACTCTGAGATCTTTCCCTTTGAGTAGTATTAGGTCTCCGACTTTGAATGGGACTTCTCCCTTTTTCTCGTCAAAGTACCATTTCATCCGTGAAGCTGAAACTTCCAATGCTGCCTTTGCCTGTTCTTGTGCCTCGGAGCGGTGGGCGAATAAGTGTTCCAATGAAGGGTGACGTATTGATTCGTGTACGTCAGGTGCCATTTTTGGATGCCGGCCATATTCAACGAAGAATGGGGAAAGTGCGGTGGACTCATGGGTCTGATTATTGTATGAGAATTCTGCTGTTGGCAGATAGTAGACCCAATCATTCTGTCTGTGGTTACAGTACATTCGTAGGTACTGTTTCAACACCTGATTAACCCTTTCTGTTTGACCGTCTGTTTGGGGGTGATACGCTGTAGACATTGTAGACTTTACACCGAGCTTCTGGCAAAACTCCTAGAATAGTTTGTTCACGAATTGAGTACCTCTGTCTAAGATGATTTGGTGAGGTAATCCGTGGAGTTTGAAGACTTTGTTATAGAATACGTTAGCGACTTGCGACGAGGTAACTGTATCGTCTGTCACATAAAAGTGCGCTCGTTTCATGAGTCTGTCTACGATGACAAGTATTGCCGTCTTCTTTTCTCCCCTAAAGTCCATGGCTGGAGGAAGTTGAGTGATGAGATCTATGGTGATGATCTCCCATGGTCCTCCTGGTACATCATTGGGTTGTAGTAGTCCGTATGGTTTTTCTCTTGAGTACTTATTGTGTTGACAACTGTCGCAACCTTGTACATATTTCTTAACCATTACAGACATTCCTGGCCACCAATAGTTCCGAGTAATGAGCTCCAAGGTCTTGAACCTGCCTGGATGTCTGGCTGGTAATGTGTTGTGATGGAGCTTTATTAGGTCAAGGCATAGCTGTTGATCCTTGAGGACATAAACCTTTCCACGATGGAGCAGCAGTCCGTGCTCGAAGTTCCATTCTGCGAGGTTTTTCCTAAATTTGCGCTGTCCTGTAGCCAAAAGTGCACGATAATCCTTGGTCATCATGTCATCTGTAAGTGCCTTCTTGATCCTTTCCAGTAGTTGAGCATCATCAACTTCAGATGCGTGAGCAGGTTGAATCGCATTGATAGTGACAAATTCAGGTTTTAACAGCATTTGGTTCGAATTGTCGCTGTCCACCCCCCTCTCATGGTCTGGCCTCCTGGACAGAGGATCAGCACGTAGCATAGTCTTTCCAGGTCGGTGACTAAGTACAAAATTGAATCGTGTGAGGAATAATGCCCAGCGCACTTGGCGTCGGGATAACTTCTGTGCCTGGTGGAAGTATGTTAGGTTGAGATGATCTGACCAAATCTCAATGGGTTCTGGATGTCCTTCTAGATAGTGCTGGTGTTCTTCTAGTGCCCGAATGATTGCAAGCATCTCCTTGTCATAAATCTCGTAATTTCTCTCATGTTTGTTGAGTGATTTGGAGTAGTATGTGACTGGATGCCATAGCTTGTCGTCTCCCAGCTGTTCGAGTACTGCCCCTGTTGCATAGTCTGAGGAATCAGTTTCTAGGCAGTATGGTGCAGTGTCATTGGGGAGTTGTAAGATCAGGGCTGATGTAAACGCTGTTTTGAGTGCACTGAAGGCTTGGTCTTGCTCTTCCTTCCATTGCCAGGGCACGTCCTTACAGGTGAGAAGCATTAAAGGTCATGCGAGTTTTGCAAAGTCCTTTATAAATCGCCTGTAGAAATTTGCGAATCCTAAAAAGGCCTGTACTTGTTTAACCTTAGTAGGTGCTGGCCAGCCAAGAACTCCTTCGATTTTAGCAGGGTCCATCTGTACCGAGTTCTTGCTGATAATCATGCCAAGATACTCGATTGAGGACTGTTCAAAGAAGCATTTCTCCAGTTTGGCATACAAGTCATTGTCCTGGAGGCGCTGTAGAACTGCTTTTACTAATCGTCGGTGTTCTTCGAGATCATTCGTGAAGATGAGGATGTCGTCTAGGTAGACTACCACTTTTTCCATGCGAATCAAGTCTTCGAGGACTGTGTTCATCATTGTTTGGAAAGTGCTAGGAGTGTTGCAGAAACCGAAGTACATTACTGTGGGTTCAAAGAGGCCACGATGCATAATGAAGGCAGCTTTTTCTTCGACCCCCTCCCTAATCCTTATGTTGTTGAACCCCCATCTCAGATCAAGCTTTGTAAAGATGCTAGCTTGTGAGAGTCTATCGATAAGGTCCGAAATGCGTGGGATTGGGAACTTGTTTTTCTTGATTACTGCGTTGAGGTTCCTGTAGTCTTGTACTAACCTCAGTGAGCCATCTTTCTTTTTAACGAAGAAGATGGGTCCTGCTGTCAGACTCCTTGATCTCTTAATGTATCCCTTGGCTAACTCTTGGTCTATCCACGTGTCGAGCGAATTCCTTTCCTGTAGGTTCATAGGATATAACTTTGCTGGGCGTGGTAATGATGCCTCTGGAACAAGTTCGATTGGATGATCGTAGGGCTTTCTTGTGGGCATTCATTCTGACTGCTTCTTGGAGAACACATCGCCATACTCGTGGAAGTGTTTGGGGACATAGGCTGACCAGTAGTCTTTGTCCTGTTCTTCTTTTTGCAGCACTCTATCCTGATTCCTCTTGGTGTCAAGACCCATGATAAGTGATGCTACAGCCTGTGCATCAGGGTCTTCTGATAATGACACCCATCTAATGAAGCTGTCCATGTCATTCCAGTTGTCATCTAACTCCTGGGAACCGACGAACTCCATCAGATCTTCGATGTGGGGAATGTTTGTGTCTTCCAGGTCCTTCTCCTGGATTGCTACCTGTGAGGGTGTGCATCTTTGTGGGCACCGGGTGAAATCGACTGTGAGTTTTCCCCAATCCACTTCGGGATTATGCTCCTTAAGGAAACTCATGCCTAGTATAACGTCTTTATGTCCTATATCGGTGACCAAAAGGCTTTGCCTGCTTGTGTGGTTTCCGATGGTTATACTTAGAAGAACCCTTTTCTTAATGGTTTCACCCTTGTTATGAGATGCATCTGCATTGTACACCCTGATCTCCTTCTCAAGTGAGATTGTAGCGAGATTCAACTGATCACCCAGCCGTGGGTTGATGTAGCAAGAATATGCTTCTGAATCAAGGAGCGCCTCAGTCTGGACTTCCCTTACTCCCTGTTTGAGGTGAACAGGTAAATCGAT